CCAGGGGGCGCGGCTGGCTGGCATGTGGTGCTGGGGATTGAACCGTGGTCTCTGTGCTTTGCTAAGCTTGTTCTAAGTAGGTGCTTTAGACCACTGAGCCATCTCACCAGCCCCTAGTGTATACTTTTTTTTAAAAAAAATTATTTGGTTGCTGTAGGGTCTCACTATGCAGCTCAGACTCATGGTGATCCTCCTACTTTCAGCCTCCCCAGCGCTGGGATTACAGGCTTGTGCCACCACACCTGCCCAGACTGTTCAGCTCAGCCTCCCCAGGGGCCAGGGCTGTCACGTCATGTGATGCTGGGGATTGAACCTCGGTTCCTGCACTTGCTTAAGCAGGCGCTTAGTCCATTGAGCTATCTCACTGGCCCCACTTGTGTATGTGTTTAAAAATATAACACTTACTCAGTTTTTCATTCTGCTTAGTAAACTGAATTGAGACCACAAGGCTAAGGGAGGCAGCTATTGGGTGAGTGGAGCAAGAGGCAGATCCTGCGGGCGCGGGCGCGGGCGCAGGCACGGGCGGCCTGTGCCTGTGCTGGAAGCAGCAGGGTGACCATGGGCTGGGATACTTAGGCACCTCGCTGTGCTTCAGGGCTGGGGGAGAGTCTGGGTGGGAGGCGAGTGCAGCTCGCCCTCAGGGCCCTGCAAGACGGAGATCTGTGTGCGGCTGCAGCTGCGGGTGGGCGACCTTAGCCGCCCCTGGGCTGCAGGAGCACATTGCCCCAGGGACAACTGGCTGTCAGTTCTGTGGGCAAGCTGATAGAAACCAGAGTGTTTCTTGCTAATGGCAGCTGTACCAAGCAAGAGATCATGCCATAGTTTCTAAAAATCAACAAGTGATTTATTTGGAGACTATTTCAATGATTTATTGGAATTTATACTGCTTGATAGGCAGTTTTGGTGGTTCATGTCAGTTGAGAGAATAAAAGAAGTATTTAAAATTTTTTGATGTGTGTAAAATTTTTTTATATGTTGCTTTATACTTCTGTATGGCTATAAGTAAGTTTACTGTCACTGGAAAAAAACTGAGGTCTTTTAAGAGACTTGTTACCAGTCATCTCATTAAATTCTGAGATACTCCTGCAAGGACACTTGGAACTCTAGGGCAGTGGTGGTGAACCTATGTCATGCATGCCACAGCGGGCTGATTGTTATCACTGAAAGCTCTAAAAGGTTCGCTAGGGAGGGAGATACTCTCAGAGACATGGTGGAGCAAGTGGAAGAGGTTAAGGTTGCTGATGGGAGTATTCTGAAAACTTCCAGAGAAGAATTTCAGCATTTTTTTTTTTTTTTTTTGGCGGAACCAGGGATTGAACTCAGGCCTGTGCACTTGCCAGGCAAGCACTTATTCTACTGAGCTATCTCCCCGGCCCCTTGTCCTTCAGTTTTTATTTATTTATTTTTATTTTTTGTTTTTGGCAGAACCAGGGATTGAACTCAGGCCCCTGCGCTTGCCAGGCAAGCACTTATTCTACTGAGCTATCTTCCCGGTTCCTTGTCCTTCAGTTTTTATTTATTTATTTTTATTTTTTATTTTTGGCAGAACCAGGGATTGAACTCAGGCCCTTGCGCTTGCCAGGCAAGCACTTATTCTACTGAGCTACCTCCCTGGTCCCAACACTTTACAGCTTATATATTTAGCGCATTTGTGTCTGGTATGTTATTAGGTGCTATACTCCTTCTGGCTGGTATCTCTGACCCTGGGCCCACAGAACAGATTAGTAATATGTTTTCTGTTTTTTTGTTTTTACCCCACCTGAAGAGGTGCAAGAAAATAGCACTCCCTAATTTAGCTTGATTTATGAACTATCAGGTTGACGCCCACAGGTGAACATAGTTTCTGCTGAAGTGGGGCATCAGGATGCCTTTGTCTCAGATTAAACTGCAGAATTTGAGAATCTCAACCCTGCCTCAGGAAGTGTCTTGTGTTTGAAGCTGCCATTCAGCTGAATTGCACTTAGAAAGTTAGATAAATCAAACAAAATGGAGAAGCGCTCTCTTATCTTTTTGCCTTCTCTGCCTTTCTTTCATGTCAGAAAATCTTGAAAAGAGTCTTTTTTAATTTGTCTTCAGCTGTCAGACTGCCTGGGTCCAGTTTTCCAGGAACTTTATAACTCAGTTAAGCTGGGTGTGCTAGCTCAGCCGGTGTTAAATGACTGAATACACATGTAGTGGTTCAGCCAGCGCCATGGGATGCTTTGGCAGGAGGATTACAGATTTGAAACCCAGCCTGTTTCAGAATACAAAAGATACTAGAGATGTAGTATGGTATGAAGGCCCTAGGTTCAGTCTCTAATACTTGGGGAAAGAAATCAAAAGATTTCTAGAGTTGAGTGGTGAGTGCACACCTGGAATCCCAGCTCTCAGGAGGCTGAGGAAGACTGCCTGGGTTACATAGTGAGACCTTGTCACACACAAAGATTTTTATTTTTAGGAAGTGAATTTTTTGGGGGTACTGGGAATCGAACTCTTGACCTGAAGCTTGCCATGCAGGCACTGTACCCCTGAGCTATGACCTTGGCCTGACCTGGCCTAACCTGGAAGTAAATTTTATTTATCTGTGGTTACTTTTTTTTCTTTTTTTTTATTTTAGGGGAGGGTCTACAGAGTGTTCAGGGTCTCACTACTAGATGACTCGTAGTGATCCACCTGTTTACAGCCTCCCAAGTGCTGGGATTACAGGTGTGGGCCACCATGCCCAGTCCCAATTGCCTCCTCAGCGTGCCCTGGGATTGAACACCCAGCTGAGCTATTTGGCCAGCCCTATTCTTTTAAAAATTGCTTCATTTAAAAAAAATTTTTTTTTAAACTTTATTGTATGTTGATACATTATAAATACATATAGCAGCAGGGTACAAAGTAGTGATACAATCTTTGACTTTTTTTTTTTTTTCAGTACAGGGTCTACAGGGTCTCATTACTCAGATCAGACTCATAGTGATTCTCCTGTTTTCAGCCTCCCAAGTGCTGGGATTACAGGCATGCGCCACCATGCCGTGTTAAACATCGTCCCAGCTCAGGCTGGCATGGCCCGCCAGGGATTGAACCCTGGACCCTGTGTCTGCCGAAGCAGGCATTTTGGTCTGCTGAACTAGCTGGCTGGCCCCTGAGCTATCTGGCTAACCCTTGACTATGATATTAAGCTTTCAAAAATCCTCAGAGATGAAAAATACATTTTTAGGTAGCTTTATAATTTGGGGGGGGAGCAGTATTGGGGATTTTACTCAAGACTACCTTTATGATTTCTAAAAACTTCATTCTTAATCTCAACTCACTAACCAGTAATTTGGAAATATTTTAGAATCCATGTATTGCTGGCCCAGCCTAGGGCTCAGTGGTAGAGTGCTTACTAACATGTGCGAAGCCCTGTGTTCAGTTCTCAGTACTACAGATAAGACAGAAAAGTCCTTGGGGGTAAATAACTGTTCAGTGATGCACAGTAGCTCTGCCTAGCAGGACTCCGTGATGCTAGAAATCCCTAGGCTGCCAGAAGGGTCACCAGCGGGGCTACTTGGTAAAACACTTTCTCAAAATAAAGTAAAAAAGGGGCTGGGAGATAGTTCAGCGAATAAGTGCTTGCCTGGCAAGCACAAGGTCCTGAGTTCAATCCCTGACACCACACACACACACACACACACACACACACACACTCACACACACAGAGGGAGGAAAAGGGGGAGGAGGAGGGGAGGGAGAAAGGCTAGGGTGTATCTCAGAGGTAGGTCACTTGTCTGGCATGCACCAGGCCTTGGGTTTGAGCCCCAGCTGCAAAACAAAACCGCAGAGAAGTTTTGGGTGAACCAGAGCCTTCTTACTGTGCTCCATCCCCCTCTGTAAGTTTTTCTTTGCATTCAGATGCGAGGTCTCAGTGAGTTGTTAGGGTACCCAAGTGGGGCTTACACTTGCGAGTCTCCTGCCTCAGTCTCCCTGAATGCTGGGAATGTGTGCACCACCGTGCCCAACTTAACTGTTTATTGTAAATAAAATTTGAGTCAAATAAAATACAAATCAAATTTTACTCAATTTTTTTTTTTTACTCAAATTTTAATTTAAAATTTAATTAAGGTATGGTGGTTCATGCATGTACGATCACAGCATTTGGGAGGCAGAAGGGTCGCTATGATTTTTGAAGGCTAGCATGAACTACATAGTGAGATCTTGACTCAAAAAAGACCCCCCCCCCAAAAAAAAAGCGCATTTAAGTAAACATAGACCTTTAATGTTTTTCCATGCTGTGCCTGTCACTTGAATCGGCACAGTTTGGTACCTCCCAGGAGCAACTCGTTAGGCTCGGGGATGCGGGATACATGGGTGCAGCTCCCTTTTCCCGTTGACAGATGTGTGTGCACACGTGTGTGAGGGGGAGACCGCACACACACACACACACACACACACACACACAGTGACATTTGTTCATGAGTGGGGCTGAAGGTGTTTGTTTTCTTTTGCATGTTTGGTGGTTTGTTAGTCTTTTGAAACAAGGTCTCGCTGTGTATTCAGGCTGGCCTCAGGCTACTGCTTTTCCTGCCAGCTCAGTCTTCTCAGTGCTGAGATTATAGGCACCATTATGCCCATCTTGGTATGTGTGCATGTTTGTATCCAGTGTCTTTAGTTGCCCTAGCAAGCAGACCTGCCTCACTGAGGCAGGTTAGAAAGTTGAGTGACTTAGGGAGACCCTGTCTCAGAATAAGAAATAAAAAGGCTCTGAGGAGGTAGGTCAGGGTGAAGGTCCTAAATTTAATCTCCAGTTCTGCTAATGAATGAATGAATGAATGGTAGCTGATGAGTGCACCGTATGCTTTGGCTTACCCCAGTTTTCTTTCTGTTAACAGACGCTGCATTCAGGTGGTGCATAAGCTGCTTTGCTATCAGAAGAAATGTCGTGTTCGGCTACATTACACGTGGCGGGAACTCTGGTCAGGTAACTTTTCCTCTTGGATGCATCTTCTTTTCATGCTTCTTTTATGTGTGTCTAGGCCTGGGCTCAAGGCAGATTTTCCCCCCTAAGTCTTGGAGTTTGTTTAGGATGCATCTCTTTTTTCCCCTCCCTTCTCCCGTCCCCTTTGCTCCTGTGTCTGTCCTCTTCCTTTCTCTCCCCTTCTCCTTCCCTCCCCCATCTCTGTGTCCATCTGTGTCCCTCTCTCCCATTTAGCTCTTTTTGGGCCAGACCTAGAGGTATTCACACCTGTGAATACTCACTCATTCATTTGCCTTATAGGGGATTGAATTTAGGGCCATTATCTGTCACACATCCATTCTTCACTTTGCTTTTCTTTCTTTCCTATACGTTTCTTTGTATGTGTGTACATGTCTGTGTAGAAACATTTGAATGATTTTTGACTTCCAGTGATTCTTCCTTTGTGTAAGACTGAGCTAGCGGTCAGTATGAGCTTGGGTTCTTCCTCTGCTTCATGTGGTAGCAGCGTATGGACTGCAGGAAGCAAGCTCTTGCGTTTCCTCAAGATGGGTGACTTGGGAGGGACGTGTGGGTTGAGGGGTCCTGTTCTTTATGTTACATCTGGCAGTATTATTTTTTATTTTTAAAATTTTAAACTTTTCTGAGATAGGGTCTTGCTGTGCAGCTCAGGCTGGCCTTGTGCTCATTTTGTACCCAGGCTGGTCTTGAATTTGTAAGGATCCTCCTGTCTTAGCCACTTGAGTGCTGGGATCACTGGCAGGGTGGTGCACATCTGGCATTATTACTGTTTACAGACTGCAGATTGATTATTCCATTCCCCTTGCACATGAAAGACAAAACGGCAAATTACAGTTAGTGTTTCCTTTGGTCTTGGTACCCACTGGGCGGGCCAGTGAAGTCACTGCCACCCCTGCAGGCGGGAAGTGGGTCTTTTTAAAGCTACAATTAGTGCCACTCCTTTTTATAGCCAACTAAATGACAGGCTTTGGGAGAGCAGAGGAGACCTGTCCTCTTCAGGGTTGCTCCCTAGGGGGTCCTGTGGCTTTGGGACTGATGGTACAGTAGGCTCCCAGTGGTTGCTGGGATGAGTGGTCGCCCCGCCCACCCACAGATGAGCAGCCTGGGAGGCTCTGCAAGAACTGGGCCAGTAACCCAGCCTCTTCGGTGGAGTTCATCTCACTTGTTGTGACACTTGGTTTCCTCCCGACCCAATTTGGCTTTCTAAATTTAGTCTAACATAATGGGAAGTAGCAATCTTTAATTAATGGATTAGAAGGTTTTTTGCAGTTACTGCCTATGGTGGTGAAGGAGGAGTAAGAGAATCATGCTAATTGGCAGTAGAAGCATTTGGTATTTTAGGAGAGAAGAGTATGGTCATGTAATAGTTTGATACTGAGAGAATGTCAGATGAGCTGAAGAAAGATTATAAGAAATGGAAGTGACTAAAGTTAGAATTTCTTAGGCAGCAACCATTCTTTTTGGTATAAAGGGCTCCTGTTGTCACCTATGGATTGTCATCTGACTGTTGGGCTCAAAGTCTAGGTTTAAAGTGAGAGCACAAGGTGATGCCCATCTATGTGTTCAGTATAGCTGTGTACCTAGAACAGGTGCGTGGTTTATGTCTGTAACTGGGTGGAGTGGCACTGTGGGAGCTAGCAGTTGGTAGTAGCTGCTTTTCCCTGCGGCTTCTGGCTCCTTCTGGTTTTACTTTCTCTTGTTGTTTTCTTTCTTCGTCCTCATTGCTCTCCTCCAGTCTTGTGATCTCTTGGGCGCATCTCCTTTCCTCTTTGCCATTGCCTTCCTTGTGTGCTACCTGTCTGTCTTTCCCGCTGCCCCTCCGCTGCCCAGGTCTGTCTCTGAGCTCCCTGGCACTTCCTGTTGTCCTTCTTCCACTTGCATGCCCTGTCCTTTGCATGAATTGTCCCGTTATCACTGTGGACTGTCTGTCCTGTCTTTTGCGCTACTGTTATAATGCATTTTGTTTCCACACATTTCATAAATCCCAGAATAAATTGCTGTCTTTTTTTGGCATTGCTTGGAATTGAACAGGGTCTTGCACGTGGTCGGCAAGTGTTCTACCATGGAGCTACATCCCTATCCCCACTGATATAATTTTTGCTAAAACAGATTATTATAATTTAATTTTTGTGGGGATGTGTGATACTAGGTTTTGGTCCTAAGACCTTCATACTGAGCTATTTCCCTAGCTTTTAAAAACTTTTTATTTTCAGTTTTATTTTTTAGATAAGGTCTTGCTAAATCACCAACTTCCCCAGGCTGTGTTTCGACTTGAGATCTGTCTCAGCCTCCCAGAGTGCTGGGATGACGCACCAGGCTGAAAATGTCTTTTCTCCTTGGCTGTCTGTATTTTGCCATGTTGGCCAGTAGTTTGCGAGGAAGAGCATTCTTTATCCTGTGTTGGTCAGTTGACTTCATGTTTTGAGAATTCTGTCTGGTCCAACTCTGTAGTTGTGTGTTGCTCGGGACTGACTGGGGAGCATCCCAAGGTCCCTGAGAGGCTGAGGCAGGGTGATAGGAGTGTCTTCCCTAAGGCCAGGGCTTGTTTGTCAGGGGCGATCTCCTAGTAGAGCTCTCCTCCAAGTGAGGTCAGCTTCTTCCCATGCAGACAGAGGGAGCCCTTCTGCAGCCGTGGCTCCTCATGTTGGTACGTGGAATGCGCAGTGAAAGAAAGAGCAGCAGGTGTTAGGGAAACTGCAAAATACGGCACGGCAGCTAGAGCGTCAGGGCCCAGTGAACACGTCCTCCTGCGTTCAGTGAGCACAAATTTGGCTATGTGATCCACCTACTCCTTGGCTGCTGCTACCCCTCGCATGTTTTCAGTCTCTTTTCCTTACAGAGTTACGGAACTGAGGGAGGTGTGTGAAACATCATGGCAAGTGTGCCTATTTGGGTACATGCTGGCCCATTCATGTGCTCCCAGGCTCTTTGCTGTTTATTTATAAGTTGGACATGGGGTTAGACTGGACAACTGAAAGTCTTGCGAGTATAGAAGCAGGTGGTTGGGGTCTGAATGCCTTTTGTCACTGAACACGTGCGTGTGGGTTGGTGGCACCATACTGTGAGTGCTGTGTGGCTGCAGTTACTGTTTGTTACTGGGAGAAGCCAGCAGCACTGCCTGCGATTAGTCCTAGGAGTGGCAGTCTGTGATGGAGGAGGAGGCAGCTGGACCAGCTGGGGGTTCACCCCTTCACCCCTGCTTTTCTTCCGGTGGCTCTGACCTACTCTTTGTTGCCCTGTGTTTACCTGAGGCCTGTCAGGCACAGTGTCCGGGTATGTGTGGGAATCTATCTAGGCTAACTCCAACTAGAGTGTGGAGAGGGGAGGTCCACTTATCTATACTTTCCTTTTTTCCCCACTTGTTTTTATTTTTGATACAGGGTCTCCCTATGTAGTACTCACTGGCCTTGGACTCAACTTTGTAGCCCAGGCTGGCCTTAAACTTACAGTGATTCTCCTGCTTCAGCCTGCCTAGTGCTGGGATTATAGGCACATACCACCATCCCTGGCTATATTACTCTTCTTTTAACAGATTTTATTTTTTCCAGTGCTGGCTATCGAGCCCAGGGCCTTGCAAAACCTGGGCAGATTCCCTACCATCGAGCTCCCCATCCCTTTCTCTTGTTTTTTGAGACAGAGTCTTGCTATGCAGATTAGTTTAGGCTGGCCTTGAACTTACTGTGTAGCCCAGCCTGGCCTCAAACTTACAGAGATGCTCCTGCCTCAGCCTCTCAAGTGTGTGCCACCATGCTTGACCTCAGCCCTTGTTACATTTTTTTTATTTTGAAATGGTTTTGCCGTGGTGTCCAAGCCAGCCTTGAATTTGTGATCCCCGTGCCTCAGCCTTTCAAGCAGATGGGATTGCAGACATGTGCCAACATAGCTAGCAGAGTACATGACTTTTAATAGGGATTAAGAAAATATATGAATGATAGGATGGTTGTTAGGTTCTGATGATCTCACTTCCCCTGGTAGGCCTAGCCATTCAAGTTAGTTTTCTTTGAATTATTGATGTGAAAGGAAGTCAAAGGTAGTTTCTCTTGCCCTTTCCCTTCCTTGTTCCCACAGATGCATAAATTACCTTTGGCCAAGTAAAGATGGAAACTTTGATAGTTTCTAAGCTATTAACCAAAGCATGAACAGAAGATTTAGAAGCAGCAGTTGTTGGAAAGGGAACTATTGAATAGAACCCTATGGGATCAGTTTATTTTACTTCTACTGTAAGGGAAAGGAGGGGCACTGGGGAGCCAGCCTGTATGTGATGATGTGGCTTTCCAAATCTGCAAGTGTGAGTTGGTTTAAGGGCAGATTTATACGGCGCTTTTGTTTGTGTGCATCTGTAGATCACAGGCCTTTCACTCCTGCGCTCTGAGGCAGCCCTGGCTAAGGAGCAGTTAACACTGTTGAAGGGTAGGGTGGCTTGACAAGGACCTGGGAGCAGACGCTGGGCAGGTAGGACCAGAGCTCTGCGCCTGTGCTCAGACGCAGCTCGCTAGGAAGAGCTCCCCAGAGCTCCCCAGTCTGTGGCTTCACTGTGCTAGACAACATCCAGAGCGTTCTCAGCTTTGTGGGAAGAAGGAAGTTGCGCATAGCCTGGCCTTTTAGACACCCGTGGGAAGGTTGGAAGACTCAGAAGATCACAGTTTCTTGGGTCCAGCTGCCTCTCCTGTCCTTGTAGAAGCCTGAGCCTTCATGGCTCTGGGGTGGGGAATTGAGCACCTTTTTGTTCCAAACTTGTTATGTGGTAGGTACTGTGCAGGCCTGAAAGTTGTCAAGAGGAAGGCTGACTTAGCCAGAGGTTTATCGGACAGTTTTTGTGTAGGTGTAGCTTTGACAGTTTCACAGTCCTTCCTAATTTTGAGAAACTATCCTTTGAACTTTTTATTGTGTGCTTCTTTTAGTTTAGTTACTTTTGTAACCTTTTAACGTAGATATAATTATAGACTTACACATGGACTCTTCATCCAGCTTCCTTTGTGGTACTA